CTCGCCATCCGTATCGCGTCTGGGTCCTCGTCGTCGAATGAATATCCTCATCGGCTCCTCGGAAATCACTACTGAGCCGGGTGAGGTCTCGAGAAAGGACATACGAGAATAGAGAAAATATGCAGGGCCAAATCGTCGGGAGCTAGGTATCGCGGTAAGCAACGACCATGTTGCATTACCCAACCGCAATACCCTAGCAATGGTAGTGATTCCTGCTAAGGAATCGACGAGAGTGAAATCCTGGACGACAGAGGAACACAACTTGCACAATGAAGCACGCAGTAGAAACCAAAGTGCTTCAATAGACGCTAGACTGACTCACGTGCAATTAAGATGAGTGATTCGATATAAATCCTGTGGGGGATCATCAGGTCGTACTTTCTTCCTGCGATGGACGGTCTTGTACATCCGCGGCGGATGATCCGCCGCGGAGGAAGTTATGACTTTAGTGAGGAAGAGCCTTCGCATAAGGCTCTTTCTCACTAAGGCGGATGAAAGCCTAGTGAGGAAGAAAACATGAGCGCTTCGACTCATCTAGATTGAAATGGAGGTCTGAGTTTCGTTAGCCTAGTTACGGATAGAAAATCGTTTCGTGAGGATGATAAACAACTGAGAGCTCTCCAGTGGGGAGTTAGGGGAGCCGGTGGAGGTTTCATCTATGTTTGCCGAAATCGTTCTGCCGTACAACTTGTGCGCCGGAAATATGTGGAAAATGTGTGACAACTGGAAACTTGTGCGCAATGTGGAACCTTATGTGTGAAAAAATCGGCATATTCTTCGATTCGAAGCCTTTGAAATTATCCAAATGTTGCAAAAACAGGCATGTGTTGCAAAAGTGATCCCCACGTTGATGAAATCCATGAAATGTATGTGAAAAAGCAACGGAATCTTGCGAAAATGGCACCTTATATACCAACAACAACGCAACACTACGATTGTTGCAATACCGGCAACAAAATTGTATAAATCCCCATAGCATTGCCAATTAAACAACGCGGTCGGAAGGCAACGAAATTCTTGAAGAACGACGCGCTCTAACGGGGAGGGGAGGAGGTAGTCGAGGGATACCTGAAATCAAGAGTAAGTGATTGTCGATGGTAGTAGTCTTACCCGATAGTCTCCCCTCGCGTAAGGGGGATACCGGCTCGGACACTAGTTGTGTCCGGCCAGTACTCCCCTCTCCCCGCTGCACCAAACTAGTAGACTCGACGAGACTCCTATTATAACGAGTTAGACTCAATAGGAGTCGGTCGAAGTCTATAGTTCGGGTAGGGGTAGCCTACCCCGGGTAGGGGGAGTAGGTGTAGCGGCTGGGGCTTGACGGCCGGGCCAATGTTGGCGTCCGCCTTGACCCCATTGAGATGATCGATTATTTTGAACCATTTTGCGAGACAATATGAGCTGATTATATAGCAGGAGTTAAGGGGGAGAGGGATTGTGTGGGTTTACCCGCACAATGCCATCAGGCTTCACCAATGCCATCATGCTATCAGGTACCAGAAAACTTTGAAACATTTACGGGCGAGCACATTCGAGACAGATGTCCAAAGGTAAACTGTGTCACATTCCGACACATTGTAGTTCAGATTACTAAATGTTGTCCAAACATGTCCAATTGGTCAAGAAGCTGTCCAAAGGTCGCTACAGATGTAATTGGACAACTTCTTGATGAAAAAAATATATTCGACAACTTCATGTCCAAACTACTCACTTAGGGTAGTTTTTCGACGAACTGTCCAAAAGTTAGTCTTAGGGATTCGTTTTGACAACCCTCGCTGTCCAAAGGGCTTTCGACAACTTTATGTCCAAAGTTGATGTGTCCAAAGGTCACGCAATCGTGGAGAAGCATGGGAAACATGCTTAAGAGTTCAAGTGACGAGCGACTCATCCGGAATCGAGTTGTGTCAAGACTACAAGATAATGAAGGGATGACTAGGCGACTGCGACGAGATGGTCTGATATTCTCTCTGTCAGTCGTTAGCGTTGCTACGCTTCTTTATTTTTTTTTAAATGCTTGGCATCATATCATGTTAACCTCGAGATATTACTTGTCCCTCATCATGTTGGGTATTGTCATGTACCCAATCTGTCTGGTTAAGAGTCTCGGATCATTGGGGTACCTCATTACGGTTAGTATTCTCGGAATATTCTGGTTGGCTATCGTAGCTCTATATCTCCTTGGCTCGAATAGTATCTCCGAGAACTTCGATCGTGGTCATGGCATGACCGTCATGCATATGCCCCTGTCAGCTGGATCGCCTGCATCGAGGGTGTCACGACGTACATCTTCGGTTTCTGCAACCAAGCTAACATGCCCGAGATCTACATTGAGATGAGCAATAGGAGCCCTAAGAAGCTGCGCTCGGTCGCAGTCTGGTCTGCCGTTATTTGCACTGCTGTTTACTTCATTATTGCCATCTCGTTCCTTCTGGTTTTCGGTTCTGATGCACGGAGTAGTGTCTTGCTTAACATGGCTGATTGGTTCCCCAGGGTGATGTTGTTGTCATCATTGGCTTCATTTGGACGGGCATT